AGCATTTAAATAACTCAAGTCATCCACACACACTAAAACAAACTAAATATTCAATATCCAGATCTTCATTGTTTGCGTTTTGACGACACCTTTGCAGTATTATCTTTTCCATCAAAATTTTTTGTTGTTGTGTAGTGTGGGATTTTCATTTTCCTAAAAAAGAGAAAAACATTGGGTGAAATTATACAACGATATAATTTGACTCAAATTGCACCTAATTGCACTACACACACTTTTCCAAAATTACAAAAAACAAATTTCACCTTTTGTTTGCCCTTATCATAGCTGCATGGGCAAATTGAAGGTGCAACTCGTTTTTTTTTTTTTTGGGGGGGGGGGGGGTTGGTTGTGTTAGGCTAGCTGAAGGATCAATCCTAGTTTAACCCTATATATATATAATCTTTAAATCGAGTCCAAACACGACTTCAACCAGAGGTACTCAACCCGAGTACTACCCAAGTTGAATTCATGCGGGTTCGGATTGAATTCGGGTTACAAATCAGATAAAAAAATTACACAATTCAATCATAACACAGTCCTGTTAAATTTTTCATTAAAATATTCAATCCGATTAGTATTATAAAAATAAAATGATTAATATAGTATGCCCAGAAAATCATATATAATTTTTTCCCCACTAGCCCAAGAATCATATGTACACTAACAAAAGTTCATCATTGAATAGTGTATTATCAAAAGCAAAGCAAAGAAAACACAGTAGTTTCTTCTTGTTAATTAGAAACAATGATTCCAACTAAGAAGATTGAATCTTGAACACTACAAATCACCAAGAATTTCGTTGTTCTGTATGGAAAAAAGTATAGTCGTCATCCGGCAAATATACGACAATAATGAAACAAAAGAAAAGCAAGATCTTGTACCAAAGAAGACAGGATTGTCCTCATATGTACTTCCATCTGCTTCAAAGAACTCCTCAAGGAGGTGACGTCCTGTGGCTGTAGAAGTGGCAGCAACTGTAGATATTTCTAATTTCAGTACAGCCACGAGTGTCCTCCCAAAAACTCTTGCCTCAAACATGATGGCCAATAAATTGCTACACGTTGTTCAAAAACTAAATTGCTATACAACGATTACTAAAAAAAAATAGAATATTAAGAGAATTATTAAATACGAATTTGCCAATATGAAATCCTAGTCAAACACACTCCTATACAATGTCCAAAAGATATTAGTGATAGTTACTAAAATTAAATTCTTGCAAAACGTAGTAATGGGAAGAATTCTTACCAGCAAGCATTATCACTAACTCAATGAGGGAAGAATTTTGTCAAACAGTTAGCATACAACAAAAATACTAACATGCCGGAATGCACGTCGCCACCTCCAAGAAATTACCTTGCTTGTTACGAGAATGATACCACCTCAACGGAATTGTCTTGCTTGTTACGAGAATAGTACCACCTCCACCAAATTTACGAAAATGGTGTCTCAATCTGTTAAGAGATGCTTATAAATTATAAACTCGACTTACACAAGGGGGTCATTATTTACATCTAAGGACTCTACACTTTTTAAGTAATAAAACGATCAGACCACCGTAGCCTTTCACAGTAGAGTAGATCACCTTGAACGAACGACTTAATTTGTGTTTGCTTGTGTTGAGTCTCCTTTTTAATTACTGCATTAAATATCTTGACAGGTAGTGCATTAACACATTTTGTGCATCATCAAGTGACATTATACTATCAATATCATGTGATGTCATCAACTAATTATCAAATAACAAATAAGATTAATAAACCCCATTGTACCAACATGATCGTTATTATTTATAGTTATTAAAACAACAAAGTTCATTAAGTCTATTAATATTCTATCACTGATTGTTAACATCACGTGATATTAATGACGTAAGTGTCATTGTTACACCTAATCTTTTCTCCTTCTCTTGCTTCTCCCACAATTCTGCACCCAATGCAATGCAAAACTGATTTTTAGCTTTTCTTGGTTGATCATGATGGATCTTAATATTTTGTGGTTCATCGTAACTTTGACTATGATGGAGTCCAACTTATTTGATGGGACACTTATGAGAAGGAGTTGGATGGCTAACACGTGTCCTCGGCACCAATGGTACACTTTGGTTTTAACAAGAACACGTGTTCTTGACACCGATGGCACGTCTTTTGCCCTAATAAAAACATGTGCATTGGCTCCGAAGGCGTTTGTTGCTTTGCCAAGTACTTGTGCTCGGCTCTGAGGGTACCTCCCCTCCGGGGAGCCATATGTCCTCAGTTCCAAGGGAGCTCACTGAAACTTTGATCTCACAATGTGTCTTCAGCCTCTGGAGCATAGTTTTAAAACCCGGCCCGGACATCAACCCAGCAAAGGAACCGGGTCAATGGGTCACTGGTTTAACCGTTGAGTCACTGGTCGAACCGGTAAATGTAATAAAAAAATAATTATAAATACTAATAAATTGGCTAAAAAATCACAAAAAATCATGAAAATAACATCAACCATATAATGTTAAAATCATCAAACATGTGTCCAATACATTCAATTTCCAATACAATTTATAAATTCAGTAGAGAAAAATACGTCTATTTCGGTTCAAGTCTCCAATTCTAACTCCAATTCTCCTACTGTGCATCAATCTAAGTATAATTCATGTAATTTGTACTCTTCAAAGTTCAAAATCAATCAATGTATAAAAATAAAAACTTAATTCAATGTGTAAAATATAACATTATTAACCAAAAATTCAATGTATATTTCAATATTTCACATAAAATATAAACCAAAAATTAGATATAGCATAGAGAAAGAGAGAGAGAGAGAGAGAGAGAGTATGTACTTGCTGAACAATATGAACAAAGAGGGAGACTTGTTTGAGAAAAGCTTCTTTTGAGATTTGGCATTCCAATCAAACAACTGAAGAAACCCTCCCTCTAAACCTCGTTTCTCAACATCCATTTTCTCATCTACAACCCAAATTCACTCCCAACACCTACAAGGACACACCAAAAAACACAATCAAACGAAACCCATTTGTTGTTTAGCACCAGATATAGTCATGCTTTAATAGTCAATAAGCTTTGGCTTTTCTTCCACTTTGATCAAGATTGAGATTGCGAGAATGAGAGAATAAGAGATTGTATGTGTGTGTGAGTGAGCGAGAGAGAAAGAGACTTACATTGAAGATGGCTATGATGTTAACGTCCACCATCGCGAAGACCAAGAGGCAGAGGCGTAGAGGACTCCAGGAGGCAGAGGCACAGAGGACTCCAGGAGGCAGAGCTAAAGAAGAAAGGTAGTTGTTGCAGAGGTGAATACGATTTAGGGCAAAATGCTAAAAAAGGGAAAAACTCAGCTATTTATACTAAATTAAATGAGCCATCCGGTTTGATTTAACTCGGTCGGGTTGAACAGTTCAGCAGTTTTTTATCCGATTCAATGGGTTTATTCCGGGTCTAATGCACAAATGGTTTGATTGTTGAACTGGCCCGGTTTAGGCACCGGTTCACCGATTTACTGAGTCAACCCGCCAGGCCGGATTGGGTTTTAAAACGCTGTTTAGAGAGACTAGTGACTAACAACTAGACAGCCTAAGCTAGACTAAGAATTATGAGAACAATCTGCACAATAGAGTCAATATGGTAGAACGAGCTCGACACCCAATGAAGGAGAGTCAGACGTGTGACATAAAATACAAGATGGAGGGTAAAAAGACAGATATCCCCTTGCTGATTTATTGTTGTCTCGGGCAAGCATTTAATGAATTATCAAGTGATGTGATATCCACAGTGGTTGGGGAAGTCGATAATATGTGGTATTAAATGCTCTGGATTCCTAGCATTTAAAGTCTTGACATCGAAGAAAGAAGAATAACTGTTCGAAAGCCTGAGCAATTAATACTGGGGCATTCTCCATTTAAATTAGGAGGCACACTGTCCCATTGCTAGACACTACCTACTGACTAGATCATTTGTAATGATGGGTCTTTGGGGATATAAATAGTCCCCAAAAACATATTATAAAATTACACATATTCACCTCTTAAGAGCAATAGAGTGTTTCTTTCTTTTTGTCTCTCAAAAAATTGATTTGATCGTTGAAAAGGATATGTCGAAAAATACTATGACACCCTTCTAACTTGTTTTTCTATATGCCATGATCACCTTGCGATCCAAAGAGACCGGTTGAGCATTCCTTTGGAAAATTCATCACCATTCCTTTGGGTGGGCTAAATTATGAAACTGAAAAGTAATTTAATAGACAAGTGTTATTTAGACAAAAAAATGTTGATATTTTTTATTGACTCTCTCCATCACAATTATCGAATAAATAGTGGGTTCTAATAAATATTAAAATTTATATTTAAATCAATGATAATGATGTTGAAAGTCAGCAAATGTTGTCAATATTTTTTGTCCAAGTAGCACTGTTCAATTTTATGAGAGTAATGATATTGCGATCTGAAAAATTGATCTTATTTACTGACATAATAATGTATAAAATAATAAAAGTGGAGTTTTATTGAAAAAATCTAAAAGTTATAGTCACAATAATATTATTAGACTTTGTCAGTACCACATCATTAGTTCAACAAATTAAATTAATTTTTAGGTTGCAATATCATTAATTAATTTTATAACACCACATTTTTCCAATTATCAAAAAAAATATTTAATTTTATTATTTTTCATGATTAATTGTTATAAAATGACTCAACCGAGTATTTATGACCACCAACCTTTTTTTTTTTTTCTCAATATGATGCAAATTTATATAAATAATGTTATTCTATGAAAACTCACGTCACACCTGCATCTCTATTTGGACCCCAAAAATGAGAGCAAACGTGTCATGATCCTCACCCTTTATTTCACCTAATGATGATGATCAAATGGTCATGAAACCTTCTTTTTTAGTTATCAGCCCTTAAGCTTCCAACTCAACACCCTTTGAGACTTTGCCTCTATATAATATAACAACAATGCCTGGTGAACCACCCTCATCAACTTCATTGCATTCCCATACTTTCACTCTGTCTCTCTCTCTCTAAATTTCATCAAGGCACAGAAACCCACGAGTCCACAACAGTTTCAGTGCTTTCTTCATCTTTGTCACCAACCCTTGTTCTTGCATTCTTGGGATTTTAATATCAAAACAATGGAGTTTCAGTTTCCTCATGAAAATGGGAATGGTCGTGCTTCGGCTGATGATAGTTTCTGCAAAATGAAAGATCCATTGAATTGGGGTTTGGTGGCGGAGTCGCTGAAGGGTAGCCATTTTGATGAAGTGAAGCGAATGGTTGGTGAGTTCCGAAAGCCGGTTGTTCGACTAGGGGGTGAGACACTGACCATATCACAGGTGGCAGCGGTGGCGGCCGGCGGTGGAGTGTCGGTGGAGCTATGTGAGTCGGCCAAGGAAGGGGTGAAAGCCAGCAGTGAGTGGGTGATGGAGAGCATGAAGAAAGGGACAGATAGTTATGGGGTCACAACTGGGTTTGGTGCAACATCTCACAGGAGGACTAAGGAAGGAGCTGCTCTTCAGAAGGAGCTTATAAGGTAACATCAATTTCAAATCCTTCACTCTCTATGTCCAATTTAAGTTACTAGATTTTTTCCAGTTGTAGGGGAAAATACATGTTTTTTTTTTTATAAATTTTTCGGCTGGATGGGGAAGATAGAAGATTGGGTGTGGCTACATTTATGTGAAGGCAAGTCATGTCCAAGAATTTAATTCTTCATCTAACTTTGAATGGTGAAATAGGAAAATCCCATGTCGTTGAGAATTTAGTTACATACATCATACTCTTCCTAAACCTTATAACGACGGAAGTCTTCTGCATCGGATACAATATGTCGATCTAAATTTTTACCAAATTTTGAAATTTCAAGTGATGTGATACACTAATAATCATTAGATAATTAGTTAAAAGTTTGTGAGACCCATTAATCATATAATTCACATTAAATTCAAATCCAAAATTTAGTAAAATTTTTAGTAAAGATAACAGCGTTGGGTAAAATAACATGTGAATTATAAGATAGTAAATGAATGTAAATCTCGACTAATATATATTCTATTCAATTTTCTTCTTTTTTTTTCTTTTATAATATGTCTAAACTTGAGTCGACTATTCCATCAAGCTTTAAGACCAAAAATTATAACTCGAGTTAATTTAATGACATATTTTCATCAGAAAAAAAGTGGCCGACCCTTAGACAGGACTTCCATCAAGAATTTTTTTAGTTTAACAGTAATTACTATTCGAATCAGTTTAAGTTCCGTCAAATTTTGAAAAGTAATGTTGTAACGATAAAAAAAAAATAAAATAAAAAGTAAAGATAAAATAATGTGACATCATTTATGGTGCTTTATATCTTATTTATCATATCAACACCACGTTATTTAATTCCTATCTATTAATTAATTATGGAGTAAGTTAATTAATGCACTGCCCAAAGTTCAGCCAATGGAATGGAATAAATATTTAATGGAATAGATATATTGTTTCATCATTGACTTGTGATGTTAAAATCATTGTATCAAAAAAAGGCTTGACTCGAGATTGTAAAATTCGGCTTGTTTATATATAAAATAGTCGACCTGCTAGAGCTCGGCTAGGGTTCGGTCCGGGATCGGGCGCGACTTGAGTTCTAAACAAGTTAAATTTGAATAATTTTTTTAATTCATTTGGAAAAACGAGTTTGACATACTCTAATTCAATCTTGTAAAGTTCGTATCAATTAACACTTCTACCAACAATGATATTGTCCGGTATTATTGTTATAAGTGTACTTCTTGAACTTTTTTTATTGAACCTCTATCACTTGTAATATCATTATATTAATAAATTAAATTAATTTTTTAGATTCTAATAGAATTATTCTATGTTAGGAGGTTGCTTTAGGAAATGTTTACTATAAATTTATAATAATAAAATAGAGCATCCTCCTTTAATGACTTAAACTCCTCAGTTAAAAAAGTATAACAATAATTCATATCGTTTAGATATGACGATTTATATTATAATTTAATTTTTTAATTTTTTAACCACAATAATTTATTTAAATTTTAACTTTTAACTTTTTAATTATAGTAATTAACTTAACCACAGTAATTCACTTAAATTTGAACTTTTTAATCACAATAAATTAACTCATATATTAAAAAAAAAATGTATTTTACACGGGGCACGAGTAGTGTTATATATTTTTGAACAAATGAATGTTTGGTATTTGTAAAATCTTTTTATTTTAATGTTTTGTATTTTTACTTTATTCTTTCCACATGAATTAATATAAAAAACTCAAATAAAAATTTATGGCTTATTTTCTTTTCCAAAAAAATAAAATAAAAAATATTTCTCGGCTATCCTGAGGAAAATAATATTTTAGTGTATTTGTGGTGGTCACGGTGACTTAGCTCTCAGAATCGGGTCGTGATTCTACAATTGGGACCCCACAATCAATTGCGCCGCATTTACAGTTGCAAGCTATATGTGGTATTAATAAAGTAGCTATATTCCATGACTAATGTAGATTAAGACTACCCCAAAATGGGCCCTATAGTATGATTAAGGCTAATCTCTTTTTCTGTCCGATCAAAAATAAATCATCCACATTCGAGACTAAAAAATTTATAAGAGATTAATTTTTCATGGATCATGACGTTAGGGTTTACAACTTATCTCTATTACTACTTAAACTATCTCTTGAAGTTGATTTTTTTTTTTTATCTTCAAGTTCATGTGTGAGTTGTATACTAACACTTTTTTTTTTTTAGACCGTCAAGCATTTATTCTTTCTTTATACCATAATATCACTAAATATTATTTCTTTTAGATTGAAACGTCACTTAATTATGTTGGGTCTTACTTAGATTTTTTTTTTTGGGGGGGGTCAATATTTAAAATTATTATAGGGAAGAAGACTGATGAAGTTTAAAATGGAATTAATTACAAGGTTACCAACTTTGGCAGCTTAAAGCTTTTGGATTGGTTTTGACTTGATTCCAAAGTTCATTTAAAGTGCATAATCCGATATAAAACCATACACTCCAAATTTATAATACTGCTAGTACTAATTTTTTTTTTTATGAAGATAATATTTAGTAAGACCCACTAGTCGAAAGGTGAACAACTTAGCTTATAGCACATAATGTTTGCCACCACACTGATTGGTTGGTACATTGGTTAGCAGACCTAGAGATTGGGCCGGGGCTCTATGCTTTTTTTTTTTTATGGTTTTACGACTTTGCAAGACCTGTGTTTTTGGTAAACAGTTACATGGGCTTGATCACTGCGACCTCCTTTGTGAGGAGGCACCCCTTCTCCCGAAGTTACATAGACAATGCCGGGGGAGAGAAGGGAATGCGTCGAGGCAACGAACAAGATAACTACATTTTGGCTTTTCCCTCCGCAGTCAATATAAGTTGGACAAAAAAAAATAGTTAGTTTATTTGTGTATTTTTCTTGTACTTATATATAGAAAGTTGGTGCACCAGATTCTTGAATGCTGGAATATTTGGCAACGGTACAGAGTCATGCCACACATTGCCCCACTCTACAACAAGGGCAGCCATGCTAGTTAGGATCAACACACTCCTCCAGGGTTACTCTGGAATAAGATTTGAGATACTGGAAGCCATCACCAAGCTTCTCAATCACAACATTACCCCATGGTTGCCACTGCGCGGCACCATCAGCGCCTCCGGTGACCTAGTCCCCTTGTCATACATTGCTGGACTACTCACCGGCCGTCCTAATTCCAAGTGTGTAGGGCCTAATGGAGAGTCCCTTGATGCCTGGGAAGCATTCCGCCTTGCCGGGATTGATGGTGGATTCTTTGAGTTGCAGCCCAAAGAAGGCCTTGCACTTGTTAATGGCACAGCAGTTGGGTCTGGCTTGGCCTCCATAGTCCTTTTCGAGGCCAATGTACTAGCAGTTTTTTCAGTTGTTGTGTCCGCAATTTTTGCGGAAGTAATACAGGGGAAACCGGAGTTTACTGATCATTTGACACACAAATTGAAGCATCACCCTGGCCAAATTGAGGCTGCAGCTATCATGGAACATGTTTTAGATGGCAGTTCTTATGTTAAAGCAGCAAAAAAGTTTCACGAAACAGACCCTTTCCAAAAGCCTAAGCAGGATCGGTATGCTCTCCGTACCTCACCACAATGGCTTGGCCCTCAGATCGAAGTCATCCGATCATCCACGAAATCAATTGAACGAGAAATCAATTCAGTGAATGATAACCCTTTGATCGATGTGTCGAGGAACAAGGCCTTAAATGGCGGGAATTTCCAGGGTACCCCAATTGGTGTCTCCATGGACAACACAAGATTAGCTATAGCTGCCATTGGAAAACTGATGTTCGCTCAATTTTCCGAGCTGGTTAATGACTTCTACAACAATGGGTTGCCTTCAAATCTGTCAGGTGGACGAAACCCGAGCTTGGATTATGGGTTCAAGGGTGCTGAGATTGCCATGGCGGCCTATTGTTCCGAGCTCCAATTCCTTGCCAACCCTGTCACGAACCATGTCCAAAGTGCCGAGCAACACAACCAAGATGTGAACTCTCTAGGACTGATTTCTTCAAGAAAGACAGCCGAAGCAGTTGAAATTTTGAAGCTTATGGCATCAACTTATTTGGTTGCAATTTGCCAAGCTGTTGATTTGAGGCATTTGGAGGAGAATTTGAAGAACACAGTCAAGAGAACTGTGAGCCAAGTGGCTAATAAAGTTCTCTCAATGGGCATCAATGGAGAGCTTCATCCTTCAAGATTCAGTGAGAAAGACTTGCTCAATGTAGTCGATCGCGAGCATGTTTATGCATACATTGATGATCCATGCAGTGCAACTTACCCATTAATGCAAAAGCTCAGGGAAGTCCTTGTTGATCATGCATTGACCAACGGCAATGACATGAACAATTCCAACTTTTCGATCTTCCTCAAGATTAGAGCTTTCGAGGAGGAACTAAATAGCCTCTTACCTGAAGAGGTTGAGAGCACCAGAAGCAGTTGGGAGAGCGGAAATCTTGCGATTCCAAACAGGATCAAGGAATGCAGGTCTTACCCTCTGTATAAGTTTGTGAGGGAAGAGTTGGGGACTAGTTTTTTGACTGGAGAGAAGATTATCTCACCAGGAGAGGAATTCGACAAGGTGTTCTCAGCAATTTGTGAAGGAAAACTCATCGATCCACTGCTAGAGTGTCTCAAGGGTTGGAATGGCACCCCTCTTCCAATTTGATAGCACATTATTTCTATATTAGCAATAATTTCCGGGTGCTAATTTTCAGGTTACTGGAAACCAAAACATGCTCAGCACCAAAGGGCAACTGCTTTCTATGTATAATGTTCTGCTTTGAACTTTTGAAATGCTGTTGCAACGTGAAGAAAATCCATGCTGCTTCTATTGATAATTTACTTGGCGCCTGTCTACCAATTTAAGAAATGTCTTTGGAAATATTTTTCCATAGCAAAATCTCAATTGAGAGGGCGGGCCTTGCTGCAAGGTATGGTTACTCACTAATGACCCGAACGTCAAAGGTTTGGGTCGTGGAACCAATCTAGCCGCATGAGAGAAGAAGGCTTCATACCTCTTTGACCATCTCTAAACCCCAGTGGCAAGAGTATCATGCAGTGACAATTCATCCTGGGCTTATTTCATTCATTATGAACTAAATTGTGTAAACCTGTCCCCCCCCCCAAAAAAAAACACACACACACACGATAAACAAAGGAAAACCAAATAACACCGCAAATGAATTAAAGAAAAGTAGAAATATACATCGTAACATAGTACAAGAAAGCATTGAACCATACAAAACTGAGAGTTTCTTGATTTAAGAAACCAATTATGTACAAGCACATTTTTAAATGCACTCTCTTGTTAGCCATTACAATTTACAAGAGATCTCCCACAAATGAGGTTGCAACGCCCAGCAATTGACTAAAGTTAGACAAGGAGCAACTTTTCAAACTATCTCAGCAGGTCAATCATCATCAGATAAACAAACAACATCAGCGACTACAGCAGAAGGGGCCGAGCTAACTTGCATGCTACCTGATGCTCCAAACTCGGATAAGTCTAATGAATCAAAGGTTGTACTAAAATCTGCTAGAGGCGGCATAATGTCAGGCTGATGTGCACCAGAACGACTATCAATGTCCATAAGCATCTCCGTTGCAGACAGCGATAAATTATGAGCTGGCAAGCCTCCAGCATTTTCAGGCTGGGGAGGCCTACTACAAGGGCCAGAGTGATTGGTTGCTAATGATGATGGTGGTGGCAAGCCTCCAGCATTTTCAGGCTGGGGAGGCCTACTACAAAGGCCAGAGTGATTGGTTGGTAATGATGATGGTGGTGGTGGAAGCTGGGTATGCGATGGAGAAGTTGCAGGCAGGTTATTTGGTGCCGGCTGGCAAGGTATCCCAGGTGTTAGGGATGTGAAACTGGCAGTGGACATGGATGCAGGTCTGAAAGGTTGAATATGTGGTGCTGGGGCACGAATCTCACCAGCAACTCTGACTGTGGACGGGGTGATGGGGCTAATATGAGGTGGTCTGGTCATAATGCTTGCGAAAAGTGCTGCTGAATGGTGAAGCTGTGGAGAGAGTGGGGTAATCTGCTGGCTGGCTGCAGCTTGGCCAGCCGGATACGAACCATTGACGAGAGGTCTTGGTGTAGGCTGCAATGATGATTGATGTCGATGCTGCATCAAACCAGAAGGCATAGCTGGCAAGGAAGTACAAGCTCATGTGATCAATAAAAAGAAACACAAGAAACTCCAAGCAAGTCTAAGTTGAACCCAAATAAAAGCACCCAAATCTTCCAGCATATGCTTGCGCACGCATATAAATAATTGTCTTGTGCAACGCAATATAGTTGCCGACATTGTAGTTTCACGGTATTGATAGCAAGAACCAAAATTTCATTTCAAAATGGCCAAACACATCTGTTTTCAAGGGAACCAAAACGAACTACTGATTAAAATGAAATTCTAGTACTTTGAGGTGTTGAAGTGTTTTAAGATGCTTCAATATATTTTGACCAAAGTTTTAAAATATTTTGAAAATAAATACCTAAACTTTTTATTCGTTTCCATTTTATTTTTGAAACTTTTCAGAAATATTTTCACTATGAAGCACGAACACTCTCAAGAAAATGATGTATCAGTGTCGAACACATGTCAGACACTGACACTCTTCAGACACGTGTTCGATACTCTTTTATCTATCCATAATTAAATGATAAAATTTTAATTTTGGACAAGTGTTCAACACTTCTTCAATGACGTGTCCGACACTTTTTTAAAACATGTCTACTACTAAACAATAAATATGTGTTGGCATACGTACAATTAACAAGCTTAAAATTTTGACTATTAAGTATCTTATACTATGAGAAAACATATAATTACCAAGACTAACATGTTAAAGTTGTACTGAAATAAAATTAAGAATGCATCCGGAACTGTTCTCTCACTTTATTGGAAGGCTAGACTGCTTATTAACCTATTCAGGTTGAACTCGAGTAACCTATTTGTTCAAGACCGGACCACACGCTCTCTCTTAATTTGGCAAGAAATAACTAGGTCTAATAAGACAATTTTCACCTTTCCTAAGACTCTAGTGAAGAAGAAAACACACCATACTTTCCATGATTTACAGAAGGCATAATACACTTTTTTTTTATAACAATTTTGAAGTATACCTCCGACGAGATCAGAATGTAATTTCCTAAATTTATACAGGAAGTAAATGGGCCTGAATTCCAAACACAACCAAGTGCTTTTGCCTAATATCCACCCAGGTCGGGGTCTACTCTGAGGGGGAGGGGCATAGGAATGCAGACTAAGGATCAGAAAGTGGCCATCAAGCCTGTAGTCAACAGGGAGAAGTCTACACAAATCATTGTTGAAAACTGGGCTCAAGCATTGGAACAACCCACAATTGAGAGATCAATTCCGCAAATAAGGGTCCCACAAAACAAAGTGTAATGTAGCATGTTCAGTTGAAATATTGTCCTTGTCAATATGGTGATTTTTTAGAACAAATTTGAGCAGTTTGAATACATGAAGCCAAGTACCACAGCCAAGAACTACACTTCTCAGCCTAAGTACTAAAAAAGATTACGTAGTGTCTAACATATCATATTCCTAAAACCAGCAGTGATACTCAATACGAGATGAACACTAATGGTTAGGGGAAGGTATGTTAAGGAAAATATACCTTGTGGCATTCCCAAGGACCCGGTAGACCTGAGATCCACGCACTTAGACCTGAAAGCCTCAGCCAATATCTTATTCATGAGAACTTTGTTGTGATTTGTATCAAAAATATTCTTTTTCAGTAGGAATGCTGCCTCAGCCTCCTGAAGTTTAGCCTCGTACTTGCTACGAATTTGAGCAATAATTTCTTCTATCTCCTTGTCACATTCAGATTTCAGCCGCACTTTCTGCTCAAAGAAAGATAATACTGAGTGACGAAAATGAAAATTAACACTACTCGTGATAATAAATCAAGACAGAGCAAATGTGACCCTGACCGTTTCTTCATGAACCTTGACGGCTTGTTCCGTCTCTTTACGTAATCTTTCCAATTCATTTTGAAGTGGATCAGCATATAAAGGGGTAGGTGGCATCCGGGAGGCTGCTTGGCGTGCACTTTGCGCTAGAAAGTTGTTGAATCCTTGTGTAATGGACAAATTTGCATCAGCTGGCAAAACAGCTCGATTTGGAAGCTCGGCTCTGACCTCGTCCACCAGAGGTGAAGCATCAGCATTTTGAAAAGAAGCATGCAACTCGCCACTTGGTTGATTTTGAACTCTGCTAGTTGAACTTAAGTTGGGCTGATTATTCCCCAGAGGTAATTGTGTAGCATCAGGCTGAGGATGCACTTCGAAATTTGCCCCAGTTCGTGAAGCAGCCATATCTGAAAGCTCTGCTTGGTTTCCAGCTAACTGGAAAGATGCCTCAGCATTTTGGAAAGAGATGTGTCCTTCACTACAAGGTTCTCGAGCAAGTCTATTAGCTGGAGATAAATCACACTGATTTTGACCCACACTTGTGTCGTTACACTGTGACTCGTGCAGTCTATCAAGAGGTTCTAATAACGGGGCATGATGATTTGACTGATCAATGGGTCCATCATCGACAGGTTGCAAAGGTGAAAGACCTTGTTCCAACGTACTCTGATTGCCATGAAGAGTTTCGTCTTGAACTCCAATTTCAATGCATATCGATGCTGGAGAACATGCATCGTGCTCCTGACCATATAAGATATCAAAAGTAAGGATCCACACATGTTATTAGTTCTCTTTTAGAATATTTTTCTCAGCATGTAACACAAAAATATTTAGTGACATCTCACCAGCATTTCCTTACAACACAAATAAAAATAGCATAGCAAACTAGTCATATAGTTCACCTATAGCATAGATGACTTTGAACCAGAATAAATTCAATTTTCAGGGTAATTATGCTATTAATCATTATTTCTCATTTCAAAAGGAAAAAAGAGGCACAATCGATGAATGTTTCCCAAAGTTCCGGGAAGAAGCATGAAATTCTCTTTGGGGAATCAGCACAAAGACACTGAACACAGGAAGACAAGATATATATGTAATGGAAATTCTTTAACAAAAAACCTCATATACCAGATACTGTGGCAAAAGATCATCACAAGCAGGAGTACCAACTGGCTGTACTGAAGGTAACTCTATCAATGATGGCCCGAGGAAAGGTGACTCGGTGTTAAAGGAGTCATTGGCACCATCACTATGGATTCTCAATGCGTTTGATACATCATAGCTCATTTTATTTCCTCCTTCATTCTCTCCATTGGTAACCACAGCAGGACTTCCTATTTCTCCGGCATCAACATCACCCACCACTTCATTAAGAACAGTTTCAGGCACTTCTGATGGAACATCTTCACCTCTCAAAATTGACTGAACTCCATCTGGTGGCTGTTCTTCAGAAGATGGAGGATTCACACAAGCAATATTCTCAGAACTGGCAGTGGAATTGCCTACTCTGTCGGGCTGCTCCATTCTATCAACCGATACTCTGCCCGTGGCCATAGTCTCCACATCATCATCATACACACTCACACGGGTACTTCCAGTGTCGGCGGGTATGCTATAGCCTAACGCTTCATTTGGAAGAGTCTTAGTAATATCAGTTGGTGCCACACAACTCAACAGCGTACTATGCACAATTCTATCTGGAATCTGTTCTGTAAGATGTTCAGGCACATGAGCAACGTTCTCAAGGCCATTGCAAGCTCCAAGTTCACTTGCCCGAGAGTACCCCACCTTGTTCCTACATTCAGATCCATGCAAAGGAAGTTCATCGAGAGCTGTACCTTCACTTGTGCTGGACTTTATTTCTGCCAACCAATTAGCCACCTTGTGTTTCTCCTCATCCCTTGCGGTCAAATGCTTTGCCTCGAGATCTTTAAAGCATATATCCTTCTGGTGTTTGTGTTCTTCCATTTTTTCCGCAAACTCATTATCTACCATTTTGAGCTTATCCATCTGCATTGAATTTTTTTGATGTATAGAACGCACAAAAGCTGACTCGACTCTATGCTCTTTTTCCAATTGCAACCTCTTCTCCTCCCAAAATCTGTGAAACTCCTGAATTTCCTCATGTTGCTTTCGAAGGAGCTTTGTCATCCGCTTTTCACATTTTCGCTGGACTCGTCTAATACTTTTTAGCATTTCCCCCTTGGCCATTCTAAGCTTAAATGCATCTTCCTGCAGCAAAAGAACCAGTTTATCAGTAAATTCCTGGTCATGTGACCCCTCTTTAATCTCAACTTTTAGTTTTTTAAAATTACATGCCTCTAACTGTGACTCCCCTGCATCTAATGGCTCTTTTGTAATTTTAATATCTTCAGTGGTGGCTATGTGATCTTGTGAAGAAGCAGATTCCTTGATATTATCTCCCCAGGATAAGAACATTTTCTTCAATACCCGCAACTTTGAATACACATAGTTTGCCTCTTCTTCCTTGCAACTAAAATCTAGGTGACGCTTTGCTAGTTCAATTGATTCCTTCCTATCAACTTTGTGTTTCAACAATGAAGCTGCGATCCAACACTGTAATAATCGCATAACCATCCATGAGTATACAGTTAGATACATGCACATAAGAGAATATCGACAGATAAAGGGAGTGAGAGTGTAAGACCATGCGCGAGGGTGTGAGCACATGCACAGAGGAGTGGGAGAGGGGAATTATGACGTGTAATGCTTGGTTATCTTAAAACATGAGTTTACCTTTTATTCATTTCAACTAAGCTAGGATCCTAAAAGGATGACTAACTATAATTTTTTGCATTACCACCACCTACCAGCCAGAGGTTGGGAGTATAGGGTTTAAATCGAGAATTTTAGCTAGATGGACTCAGGCAACCTCTTTGACAGTCTTCATTCTGCAATTCATTATGCATACACTGATACACATACTTTAGATGGTACATGTGTGTATATGGGACTTACGATTGAAGAGTTTGGGCTTCAATCTCTCACAAATCTGGGATCTACATTCTCCAATTTCTAAAGTTCTCATATTTCCAGCAAATTTACTGCCCATTTAACTTTTTTTTGTTTCCTTTATCACCAAGTTGCTCTGTCATACTTTCCAACTTTTGGTCAGTGCTAGTGAAAGAGTAAAGGACTTGTTCCATTCACAGGCTCTGACACCTTTATGATATGTATCACCATATCAGTAGAACAGAGGCGCAGAGGTGCAAAGCAGTGCTAGTGAAAGAGTAAAGGACTTGTTCCATTCACAGGCTCTGACAACTTTATGATATGTATCACCATATCAGTAGAACAGAGGCGCAGAGGTGCCTTTGCAATTATTTTAAAGGGGTAAAGAAACTGTAAAACTAACAACCTCCTGATTAAAATTGCTATTTTTAATTGGTTAACAATAACAGTAATCATTATAATAATAATTGTAATAACAAATATAACATCAAGTTCTATTCTCCAGACTGACAAAAGAACAATGAAAATGTTTTTCATCCAGTGCTGAACCAAATGGGCTACAAAAGGGTCCTATTAACATCTACAAATTTTATGTACTTGACCCAATGCAACTCAACGAAGCCTTTACAAAATACATAGAAAAATTATGGATTATCTCTCTATGGCTTGCTCCATAAACCAAAAGCTCCTTATATTTTAGAAGCCTACACAGCTCCTATAGTTTTGAACCAAGTTTTCCATCCAAATTAGGAATTTGTAAACAGACTCATTTACCCAACACCCAAATACTCCTTAATCCTTATTTGAACAAAAAGAACCATTATTCCTTAATCTCTCACACACACACACCCACATAGCCCACAGACAAAAACACACACTCTCTCTCTCTCTCACAAGAAAGTACAAGTCTTTGCCAAGGAAAAGCTTCAAGATTTGTTCATGCTGACCCCACAAACCCATAAACTGCATAGTGTCCACTTCAGGCTGTGAACTATTTATTGGATCATACAACTTTCAGAGGTTGATCTTTCGGAAAAAAAAAAACTTTCAGAGGTCGACTGAAGACACCTTCAAGGTCAAACCATATTCCAATGCAATACAATTCCAATTATTGACAAAACCATGATGTGCCTTTTAAATCCATTTTCATTATCAATTTAAACTATAAAATTTGAAACCATCTCAGGATTTGACGAGTTGAACATGTGACCACACGAGCAAGAGAGAGAGCACAAGAGCGAGTACAAGAGAGAGACGAAGAGAGAGGGATAAAATGTTGGCAACTGTTAAACTAGAGAAGAAATACAAACACGACTTTCATTGCTAGAAAAAGGGTTACTTGGTCATTAAGAAAGTTCATTTCGGAGGAAAAACAACATTCTCATGCCAAAAACACTTCTTGGGCATGTGTAAGTCCCTTTGGCAGAAATATTAGTGGATTAAATGTAGCCAGGTAATGTGTTACGAGGACAAACCACAAGAAAATCTGTAATTTATAGGTGTTGTTATTTTCAAATAACATAAAGTTGTAGAGAACTGTTATAATCTGAAGTGTCAATTTTTTTGCACAAGTATGTGTACCCTTAGTTATTATAGTCTTTCATTTGTTCCCTCGTGTTATGAACTCTTGACAACCTATCCAACTCTCACTTCATCAACAATTTTGAACTCACAAACAGACGAAAAGCATTAAACTTGAGTAAACTTATAGAAAAGAGACTCTAACCTATGATAGATAGAGGTGGACCCGTATTAGATATCATATCCATATACCATATTCGTCGGATACTCGATGATACGTATCAGATATACGTCTTACGTATCTGATAATAATAAAATATTTGGTTACTTTGCTAATACTTATATAACAGAGCAGTATAATTTTTTAATGTAATATTTAAACATCTCCTTTCGAATTCACATACCATACAAAAAATCAACAAAAATTCTAACGACTTTGAAGTCACGAGCTTTTTTACGTTTTATCTACTCTTACATGTTAAAAGAGCATAAATTAATCTATTTATACTTTTAGCAACAAATATTTTTAAGCATACTAAGTAAATATTAATTTTGATCCTTTTAATTAGTCACTTCACTTTGTGAATATACCATAATGATACGACATATTTTTTTTGAAACTAAAAAAAAATGTCAATTTTGCTTATTATGTTAAAGAATTACCAAAATATATAATTAATGAGTCGGTAGATAATAGTAAAAATATGAATTATACTTTACTATAAACGTATTCTAACCATATCCGTATCTTATTTTTTAGATTGTCATATCTTCGTATCCGTGCTTCATAGGGTGAACAAAATTATGTATTGAGTCAATTGTTATTGTTTATAATTTAATAACCACAGCCTACTACGTAGCTTGAGGTTTTACCCTTTAGACACTCACAGTTAAACAGAGATTTCTCTTGGAGAAATT